TTCCCCAGCTAGCAAGGCTGGCTGGGGAATTCTGGGAGTTGAAGTCCACACCTCTTCAAGCTGCCAAGGTTGAGAAACACTGCTCTAGTCTGTGGCCTAGTCTGGCCTCCCAAAACAGACCACAAGACCACCTCCCTCACCCACCACAAGAACATTGGCATAATGAAAAGTAGCACAGGAAAATCACTATGGAAGTGTGCTGAAAATGCCCCAGCATTCTACCCCTTTTGTCTGCTAAAGAGAACAGCCCTTTTAGCCTCGAGTAGTTAGCTGTCATCTTGGACATTGGCATTTTTTCTCCATCCTGAAGGCCGTCACATACTCACCTCTTGAGGGACTGAGGCTCCGTCCCTTTTGGCATCTCTCCATCACTGTTGTCTGATGAGGCTGTTGCCTCTGAATCTGAGTCAAGAAAAATAATATCAGTCAAAGTCATTCAGCCTCCTTCTGCCAGAGAGCCGTGGACTTCATATAAAGATGTCGTGTTAGTCTGCATTATTCCCTGGGGAGGTTGGTGAGGTGACCTGGTCCAGGTTGCTCTTCCCAACAATTTTCAAGGCTGAAAGGGAATCCAAACTCAAGTCTTCTGGGTTCAAGGTCAAAATACTGCACTGACTCCCTCTTCCAACACTGAGTATATCTTTGCACAGAAATCCACCACCCCTCAGCTTTGTTCTGCAAGCCATCCTGCGCATCAAACACTTCTATACACCCATGTTTACTGAACTGTACACCCTCCTAAGAAAACTGTGATGCTGCCTGAATACTTGGACACCAAGATCTGCATTTAGTTACACTTCTAGACTGCATCATTCTGAACAAAGTGTGCTTTGGAGCAAGTTGCTCATCCAATGTATTTACATCTCACTTTTGACCAGCAGCTTGCACTCTTAACTGAGGCTATCAGAGATACAGCAACAGACATCTGCAACAAAATGAAGACGTCTCCAAAACAACTTCAACATTCGATTTCTAACCATTCATCTTTACAAAAACAGCTTTCAAATAAAAAAATGTCATGGATCATTTATCCAATCTAGTCAAAATCACCAATGGGACTGAGCAGCAAGAAAAATGCAGATAAATTAGGATAACAGGGAAGTTGGACTGGGTAGCTAAAAGCTTCCCCGGCAACTGGATATTAAAACAAGAAGCCAATGTCAGCCAAATATAAAATGTAATAGAGAGACAAAAGTGCTTAAGAATAACACTTCCTTGAGGAATCAAATATTAACAATCAGCAGCTGGTTCCTCAAGGGGACCAAATGCAGAATACAGCAATCGGATTTTGATTTTTACAAGGACCAATATAAAAACATGGTACACGCAGAGGACCTGGGAAAGAGGGAGCATTCACACCAACTCAAAGTGGGGGAAAACAAGCAAAAAAGATTAACAGCACAATGGTTCATGTGTCTGTGCAGAAATAAATTCCATGGGATTTCCTCCTGCAGAAGAGGATATAGCGGCTTTCTTCAACCTACTCTCCTAGACTGGACTATAGATTTCCCTAGTTATCAGGGCTGGGAATTCTGGAAGTTATAGTCCATACATTAGGGAAGGGACCAGGTTAAGGAAAGCTGATATAGAGGATTAAACCTCTAATGTGGATAACTATTTGCATGCTTGTTTATATTTAATGACCATTCGTTCAGCAACCCTTTGAACATATAATGGCACTCAACAAGTGGTAGTTATGACTGGTCCTCATACTTACAGCCGTTGCAGCATCCCTGCGGTCGTGTGATTGTGATCCAGGCACTTGGCGCCCAGCTCACAATTACAATGTCACGGCGTCCTGCAGTCACATGACTGTGATTTGTGACCTTACCTGCCAGCTTCCCACAAGCAAAGTCAATGGGGAAGCCAGCAGGAGGTCGGAAGCCACAATCATGTGAGGTCACTTAATGACCCGCGTGGCCCTCGCTTAATGACAGTGACCGGGACTGCTGGAACTGCCATCGTTAAGCAGCATGGTCACGTGATTTATCGACTTATGATGTCACTTAATGACAGAATTTCCAATCCCAATTAGCGTTGTTAAGTGAGGACTACCAGTATACACATGCACAATTACTAAAAGCACAACTGATTGCTGAACCAACCATTCTAGTCCACCTTGAGACCATTTTTACACACCAAGCAGACATATAGCTATATTCAAGGATGTTTTCTGCATTATTTAACTGCTAACCAATCCCATCTTAAACCAGAATCAATAAATCCACCACTGGGGACTTGCAATGGTCTTGATTCCACAATATCTATTACCAAGTAAAAGGTACCAGTGACTTTTGATACCTTATGAGGAATATGGGCCACTTCTATTTTTAAAGTGAAACAATAAATGGTTATGAGGATGTCACATTCTATTAAGATTTATTTATTTACTTGACATGAAACCCTTGATCCTGCCCTGTCATTGTTTTATTCTCTTCCTGCCTGAATAGGTGATGTGGTGTCCACGTCAGTATTATTATTATTATTATTATTATTCCCATAAAAATAGATCCTGCCCTTTCTCCCAGTGCCATCAAACAGAGGTTGTGAGCCTCAGTTTACCTGATGAGTCTTCATCCACATTCTCATACTGGAGCAGGCGATCAAGCAGGAAACTAGAAAGCGGAAACAGAGAGGAAGCAGCAGTGATTCAGATCTGATGCTTAATTTTTAGAAAGAGACTGAGGCCACAAGCTGACTCCAAAGATTTGCCACTTTCCTGGGGCATCCTGAATTCCAGGGCAGGCAGGAATCGAGCTGCAATGACTCCTTGGCAAGAGAAAGGCCCTCTGCACATACTCTGAGGCACTTCGTATCTAGAACTCAGCCCTGATACTGAAGACAGACTGAAGGGCCAAGGACTGGATAATTCTGAAAATGCTGTATGAAGTAAAATCTTCCCAAGTCAGGCTCAATTCCTGGTGACTTTGTGGCACAGCCACGGAGTTTTCTTAGCAGCTATGAAAGTGGCTTGTCACTGCCTTTGTTCAGGATGTTTTTTGACTTCCTAGCCTATTCTATCAGCCCGGTATTCCCTGGCAGTCTTGGGTCAAATCTGGAACTAGGTGGCTCATAGGCTGAGATTCACAGACACAGCTCTTGATGAGAGAGGATATTGACAGATACCAAAGAAGCCATTCATATGGAGAAAACAAGCAACTGCAAACTGTAAGCTTCAAGCTGTACCCTCTATAGGGCAGATCCAAGGTTCAAATCCAACGTCTTTTACTCCCAACCCAGCCACTGCAACAGACTGAGGGCCATTCACTTCTCAACAGAGGAAGCACCTGATTCCTGTCCACTGTTACTGTAATGGACCAGCCTGGCCTCAGGCCCTTTGCTTCTGTCCCTTGCTATTAAGGCCTTACAGTCTCCATTGCAAATATGAACAGATCTGATCTTGCTTTGTTTCCAAAGAGATATATATCTCAAAGAGATTTTGTCCCTTCAACTGGGGTTTGTTTTTGTTTTGGTGCCTTCAAGCCTGTCTTGATTCTGGGTGACTACTTGGACCAGTCGCTGCAGTTTTATTGGCAGCATTTTTCAGAAGCGGTTGGCCACTGCCATCTTCTTCCCAGAGCTGAGAGAGAGGGACTGGCCCAAGGTCACCCCGCTGGCTTCGTGCCTAAAGCAGGACTAGAAATCATAGTCTGGTTACAGGCCTGGTGCCTGTAACCACTACACCAAATTAGCTCTCTTCTACCTCTGACTCAAATTATTCAACTGCCGGTTTTAAGGGCAAACATTCAAAAAGTGTTTGGATAAAATAAAATGACCAATTAGACTTTTGCCTGCCACCCAGCCATCAAAGACTCCAGATTCAACTGAAAAAAAGGTGTCAGTTTTGCCTTTTCACCTCCACATTCTGATATTATGATCCCTTGGCAATTTGCTTTGCCTCGTTTCACACACCCCTCCATCCTTCCTCATCAGATCAGCTCACCTTTTATCTCGTGAAACTTTCAAGAGTTTTCTTTGTGCTTTTCTCAGCTCTTCTTGGAAGCACTCTTGTTCCTGAGAATTGATTTAAAAAGACTAAGTGTAAGTAGGTAAATCGTTTATGGAATAAATCTCCAGACCATTTCAAGTATACTAGGAGTAACAACGATACATACGTATTTTAAAATGAGACATTGTTATTAAAATCTGAAACTAATACATTACAGGCGTTAACATTTAAATCTAAAACCTAAACAATACTATTAATTTGTCAATACTGTTGATTTTTATGTAATTTTTATGATAATTCTCAGCTTCCTATATGTATAATTTGTAATTGTTTTAATTATTGAAATTGTTCGCCGCCTAAAGTCACCTGGATTGAGATGGGCAGCTACACAAATGCCATAAATAAATAAATTAAAATCTTTTAACCCTGATAACATAATACTTTAAAATGGTTAAGAAAATAGAGTAGGGACACACCTTGTCAGACTCCTAGGAAATATAAGCACGACATAATTAGTCATGTCAGACAGAATCTACTATCCCGTCCTGCTTAGCCTTGCTGTCTTAACTGCAAAGATAGCAACTCACTGTGTCACAAAGTGGTTGATACCTTATAGGAGGAAATTCAATTTACTTTCAACACTCCAGTTCCTCATGTCATCAAGGAACGGGGATCAATAATGTTTAACATACAACCGGCATTCCAATATAGAACGTGACAGATCCTCTATTTCACCTGGCCCCACACAGAGTCACTAGGATCCAAAAAGGCTAAAATGGGTGCCAGCTATCACCCCAGACAGTTGCCACCCCAGTTCATTTTTCCTCCTTGGGGGCTGATCCTTCCCCTCCATACAAAGCATGCAAAAGGCAAAGCAAAATAGCAGCTTTTCTCAGCCATCAAGTAGCAGCAAATTGCTGGTTGTTTAAGTTTCAGTTCTTGGCCAGATGGAAGAGGGAACAATTTTGTATTTCTGCCTGAGTAGGCTCCCTTGTTCATCATCATCAATATAGTACAATTATTCATGCTAGTCTTTTACAGCGTTATTCTGCAAATTATTCCCCTATTTGTACAACTGCTGTTTTAAGAAAATAGCTCTTTAGAGTGATAATACTAACTGGCTGTATTAAATACATATGAAATTATCCCCATACTTTTTGGGGCTCGGGAGATATTCCCAGCAACCCTGCAAGGTAGATTATCATCCCATTTATGCTACTGAAAATTTGAGAGACGGGGCACATATTACACTAAGTTGTTTTGTGGTTTCTTCATTTCGCCTTAGCATGTCATGTGAATTTGTGGTTTGGAAACCAGGGTCTCGGACCCAGATGGGCACCCTGTGGGGCCAACCCCCTTTCTTGCAGTCTCCCCAAATTCTGCAACCTGTTAGCTCAGTGTTCCTCAACCTCAGCAACTTTAAGATGTAAATAAAACACAATTGCTGGGTTCACCTAACACATGATGCCAAACAAATAGTAATAGTTTACTAGGATGGTCTGGTTCCAGCAAAGCAGTCAGTCACAAATTGTAGACGAGCATGTTGTACACTGACCCATAAAAACTAAACTTGGTTGGGTGTGACTAATTGTTGAACGGGTGACCACTAAGGCTGTACGGAGACAGACAACTCCAAAACACATCCCAGAATAAGGAAGGGCAAATCATTTCTGAACTGCTCCCAAGAAAACATAGGTCAGTTAGGACCTGAGCTTCTGGAGCAGTGTTTCTCAGCCTTAGCATCTTTAAGATATGTGGACTTTAACTCCCAGAATTTCCCCCCCCCCCCCCCC